TACTTCAATGACTTGACCTTGTGGAGGTCCTTCATGTTTCCCATAACTCCAGACCACTGAGGATATCATCTTGGTCTAAATCACTGTTGACAGTCAGTCAGGTAAGATTCAGATTTAGGGCTTTTCTAACCATAACACTGTGCTACTGAAGGGACCCAGGCCTACATGGAAAGTTCTACTTAGATTGCTTATTATTCTAGTGTTATCTTCTTCTCTTTGAAGCTAAATTTACACTTGATAATAAGACCTTGATTTTGACTAGATTTTTAAGCTGATAGAAAATACTTTAACATTCATGTGTATCTGCATATTAACTTGTGCATGGTGTGTGTGTGTGTGTGTGTGTGTGTGTGTGTGTGTGTGTGTGTGTGTGTATGTAGGGGGTTATGCCACATGCAAGTGCTTAGAAGAGAACAACATTGGGTGCCTTGTTTTTATCAGTCTGTCTTATTCCTTTCAGACAGTGTCTCTCACTGAACCTAAGGTTGCCATTATGGTTTAGCAGTCTAGTCAACGAGGCCCAGTATGCATGACTGTTCCATTTTTCATGAAGACGCTGAAGATTTGAACTCAGGTCCTCACAATCGTGCAAGCACTCTTACCACTGAATCATCTTCCTAGCACTATAGTACGTTTTCTAATTGGGTGAGAAGAATTTAGCAACTCTGCAGAATAATTAGCAACTAAACTTTCAACTTATTGGTACTGATTTAAACTTTCATACAAGAAACTAAGATGTTTATTAATTTGTAAAGAAAATCAAAATCATATCTAAAATAAGCTTTATGTTTAATTTATTTAAGTAATACAGAAGAAATTATATGAGGCACAAATGAATATTTGAATACAAAGATAAATATTGCCATATTCAAAGTATCTATAATGGATTAAAATCAAATTTGAATGAAATATAATTTATTCATCCATACTGTCACACACCAGGGCTATACTGATTCTTTGATTCACTCACATAACATTTAATGAATGTTTTTGTGCAAAGCACTATATTTGATACTGGATCTTTAAAAATTAATATTCACAGGCATGCTTTTGAGTTAGTCCAGGCATTTCTGCAGCTGAAATTGCTAAAGTCTTGTTTGTAATAGTTAAGTAAAATGTTTATCAATATGAAATACAAATAACTCAGTATCAAGAACCCAGTACTTGGATTTTATTAGCTATGTTCTGTTCTCCATTTCTTCAGACTGCTCTTTCCCTTGCCCACACTTCCCTGCATGTCAGTTAGCCTCAGTGCCTTTCTTTCATGTGAATGGCTGTGCTCACTTCTGTCTTCCCGTAGGACTTGCATTCTCAGTCTGTTTTAGGAACCCCACTCTTCCATACTCATACTGCCCACTCCCTCCTGTGATGGGAACACAGTTCCACATTCCCTCTGTATTTCCATGGACCCTACTTCCACACTTCGTGAAACTCCTGACTCCAGTAGACTATATGATTCTGCATCAAGGTCAGGCAATAAATATTAACTGTAAGTTATTTTCAAGTTCTGACATGGATTTTTTTTATCTTTACCAACCATCTTCCTGCCTCGCTCCTGGATAACAGGGATGTCTCCTGTCCCTTACACAATATGAACTGGTGGTGAGCATCTCCCATGCACCAGGCTTCTCTAGCATCAGTGGTACAGAACTGAACTGTAGCTAAGGTTCTCTGTTGGTGGGGCTTACATTCTAGTGGGTGGTAGGGACAGAGAATAAACAAGTAAGGATAAATGCAGGCATGATTTTATACTGTGAGATGAGCTAGAAAGACATTATGAAAGAGGTGGTTAAGTAAGTCTGCCTGGAGATGAAGGATGCGGTGAAGGATTCTCCAAGGAGGACAGCAGGAGGAAGGAAGGGAAGGCTAGAATTGGAACACGGTAGAACATTATGAGCAGCAGGTGGTAGGTGTCGGGACCTGGACGCAGGAGAGTGGCATATCCCAGGAAGAGACGGATATCCCATGTTTCTGCACTCTTGTAGCCAAGGGCTGAGGTGGAGTTTCCCTCTGCTGTGCTGTGTACTCTCTGCTGTCAGCAGACAAGCCATCTGTCATCTTCTGCCAGTCTCCAGAGTAGACTACCTCTAATAGCCCCTTCTCTCCTGCTTCAAAATGCTCGTGAAGTGTTCCGTGTAAAAAAACAGTCTGCTTTGACTCCTGCCAGCTTTAATGTCAGTTTCCCAGTCAACAGATGACTCCGCATCTGCATGGCCTCACTCAGCTTTGGCAAATGCGGTTTGTGTCTATACTATCATTTTCAGTATGCTGTCCAAGATCATCACTGACTTCTCAGCTTCAAATCCGGTGACCTCTCCTCAACCCTCATCCTTCTTGACTTTCTGTCACATTCTTGACAGTCCCCTTTCAAAAGACTCTCGCTGTGTTTCATGAAAATAGATTCTGTACAAGGTTCTCCTATCTCAATGACCTTTCCATAATGATTACCTCCCAACCTCTGACATGTTCATGGCCCACACCTCACTGCCTGCCTGCCTGTCTGCCTGTCTGTCTGTCTGTCTGTCTGTCTGTCTGTCTGTCTGCCTCTTCTTCCTTGTTCCTCACCCTCTTCTCACCAGCAGTCTTACTCCCAAAGCCACAACTTGTACTCCTGTGTCTTCCAGTCCCACCATTTCCTCAGGAAACCAGAAACACCCTTTCAACAGCAGTGAACCTGTTCAGGCAGCACTCTCAACCCAGCACATTGCTAACTGGACTCACATGCTTCCTCCCCAGCCCCGAGACTTCTTCCATGCTTACAAATGGTCACAGGGCAAGTTTGCCTTCCACAAGGCTCACCAGTGCCCTCTCTGCAATGCTTCTCAAGCTTTGTTGCCATTGGGACGCTTTGCTACCTCATATGCATCTCTCCCAATCCCTCAAGAGTCTGTCTCCTAACTAGACCAGTTCCCATCAACCCTCGAAAGCTATGCCATCAAAAGGATGCAGCAGATGATTCTCCTCACGATGCCCAGATCTTCACACTTAATCCCCCAGTATCGTCAGTGGTTTCTAATCACTTACTCAAAGCCATGAGAGCCCAAGTTCCCTGAGCTGTAGTCTAGCCTTATCACCCACTCCTCTTGGGGTCATCCTGTGCATCGTGTACATGGTTTTGTTCTCTCTCTTTTTTGTTTTTCTTGTGAATTGGGATGCCATGCTCTGTATCTATCAGCCGAAAATTCCTCAGTTCACTTTGCCTCTAATTTAAATAGTATTGATTCTTATTAATTTTTTTCAATCTCAATAGAAAATAATTTCCTCTAATTTTGCATTTTCCCTTACAGTAGTTATATTCATACATCTACACGTGTTTTTGTCTTGTGTTCTATTATTTCATTATCTTTTAAAATTATCTTTTTGAGGATAGCATCCACCGCCCTTGTCTCTTGCTCTAAGTCACCCTCTAGCACCCTCTCTACAGTTAGCTGCACCATCAGTCTGCTATCTGAGTGAGGGTGCTTCCTAATTCTCTAGGCCCTGCTTGCACCAGCATTAGAGCATTGCTATTTTGTACTATTGTGATGGTAGCTTCAACACCATCCCACTTATATGTTTACAAGGCACCTCAGCCTGAGCATACCCTGCATGGCCTAGCCTCTTGCTCTCATAGTCTTCTTTGCTGCAAAGAGTAACTCCATCTGTCTACTGGCATCACCATGACTGCTCCCAGGCTTGCTGTCTTTCACTCTCTCATCCCCCACATATAAACTAACAGTAAATCCTGTCAGCTCTATCTTTCAAACACACCACTGTGAATTTTAAAAAGAAAATCACAGCTGTTGCTATACTTCCCAGACCCAAGCCTGGTCTGTTTTAATTATCGCAGTCCTTCATGGCTGGTCTCTCCTTCCTCTTGTGCCCTCCAGCCATCCACTTTTTTCATGGAGAGATCCCACTTTACAGGTTCAAGGCAGAACCACTGACCCATTCAAGCATGGTTGCCTCCTCTACTCAGTCTGAGTCATTTGTGACACTATGACAACCTCAGGACCTGGGCTGGGGCCCTGAGGAGTCCTCTCTGGATTCTCCTTGGTCATTATTTACAGTCACATTAATGCCTGAACTGGTTTTCTAAGAAGCCAAGCACACTTACACATCTTCAGAGCACCCTTACTATTTAATGGTGACTACAAAGGTACCCTGCCAGGGGCAAAGTATGTTAAAAATCTGACTTCAGTGTGAATTGCAGCACCAAGGCTACAATCTAGGCTCATACTGTAGAATCTGTGTGCTAATGCCTAGAGTGATTCCATGTACTCTTTAGGGGCTCAGCATTGCTTGGAAAGGAAAAGGAAAAGAGAAGTAGAAGTCGAACAAAATTAGATAATTCTTAAATTACCCTTTTCAAGCTCTATTCCAAAGATTCAGACTGGCATTAATTAAAGAGCTCAAAGAACAATTTAAAGCAGGTATGATGGACAATGATTCTCTTTCAGCACATGATTAAATATTCAAGTCTCTAAACAGGAATATTCTAGATTGTAACTTGAATGTAATCCAAGCCAAATGTGTAAAAATTAATGGATATTTATTTAAGTAACATAATATTTAAATGAATTTAGTTCTGCTAAAATATCTACCTAGGGGAATACATCATCAATTTTGTTAGTGTTATTAAAGAGAAATTATAAATACTAAAAACAAGTATTAGACAACAACCTAGGGAAAATGTATAACTCATTCTAAACCTAAGAAAATTCAGAGTTACGGCCCAAATATTACTTTACCACATGGTATGTTACAATGATAACACTTCTCTATCCCTGTATTTAATTAGTATGAAGAGGACCCCTTCCATAGAGTCAAGGGGAGACTTAGGGAGTTGCTTAGAGCATTTTAGCAGTGCATAGGACAGAGGGGGATGATCAAGCTGCTCGATCAAATCTAAAGAGTATCTCCATGTCTACCACCTTCATAGATGCAGCAGCAGAGCAGGGAGAGCGGGCTGTAAATCTGCCTGTCTACAGTCTAATCGAATGCCTTCCACAGCTCCTCACCTTCTCCAGGGTCATCTCAGTCTCGGCAGCGTGCGTCTTTTTCAGCTCCATTTTCACCCTTTCGGACTCAGCCTTCAACTTGTTGATGGTGGTCTCGTGGTCCCTCGCAGCCCTCTGCTTTTCTTCTTCTCGAAGAAGACCAAGTTCTACCAGCTGTTGTTTCCTCTGAGAGTTCACGTTAATTAGTTCTTCCCTCAACTTATGAACCTGGGTCTCCATATCAGCAATAATCTAGGAGAAACAGACAGAAGATGCAAACTAGAGGAGTCACAAAGGAACAACTACACAAGGCCAAAAACACATACTTTAAAAGTTCATTTGTCCTTCATGTTCCCACCCAAGGATCTTTTTGTTGTTTTGTTTTTCCAAACAGGGCTTTACTGTGTAACAGCCCTGGCTGACCTGGAACTAGCTCTCTAGAGCAGGCTAGTATTGAACTCACAGAGATCTGCCTACCTCTGCCTCCCAAGAGATGGGACCCACCCAGAATCTTTGTTGCTCTCTGTCTTTCAACCCTATGCTGTTCCTTCTCGTCTCAAAGGTAAATGCCAAGTGGAGAAAGAATATTTTCTTACAGTTTCTTTAAACACTATCACATTGCCTACTTTTATGTATTTATAATTCCAATGTTTGTGGAATATTATGACTATTCTTCTGAAACTGGCTTTTTCAAATGTTCAACATGGAGTTCTTGGAGATTTAATGTCCTTGTGTTCTTGTTTTTGGCTTTGATTTTGTTATGTCCTTGCTTCTATTTTCTTGGTTTCTTTTGTATTCCTTCTTTCAAATTCTTATTTTATATATCTAACTCATATTTTAACCTTCTCTGAATTTTAAATCTGAAGTTGTGTTCCATCTGTTTACTTTAGGTATATGAGGCTTTTATTATCACTTAGTCCAATACACACTGAATTTTATTCTTTCCTTTGACTTGTGAATCATTCAAATGGACTCTTCTTCGATCTAAAATTCATGGAATATGTTTCCTAAGGCTACTACTCTAACAAAGTACCACAAACTTGGTGGTTTAAAAGAACACTAATTTGAGCTAGAGAGAGGGCTCAGCAGTTAAGAGCAATATACTCTTAGATGGTTCCCAGTAAACAGCTTACAACCATTCTTGACTCTAGTCAAAAGGGAAGTCAGTATCCTCTTCTTACCTCTGTGGGCAGCAGGCCTGAAATAAATCTTTAAAATATAGGAGAAATATATTCTTCCACAGTTCTGGAGGGGAGAAACCTCCAAACCAAGTGCTGTCTGAGTTGGTTGCTTCTGGGATTCTGAAGAGCTCATTCCATTCATCTCTCTGAGACGCTGGAATCTGCTGTCCACACTCAGTATTTCTTGGAGTGTAGACACAGCAGTTCAGCCTCTTCTCACCTTGCCAGGGCTCTTCTCTCTCTGGATAACCGTGCCCCTATGTTTCTCTGTTTCATAAGGGTACTGACCACATTGGGGTCAGGAGTATAGAATGTGCTATACTTCCTACTACTAAAAAATGAGATTGTTTGATGACAAGCTATATTGTCACATTTTTAAAAGCTTCATGAAAGAGGGCTAAGATAGTGGACTAAACTTTCTATATATGTCAAATGCCACATTCTACAAACATCCATTGGATCACATACTTATGCTGCTGAAGTCTATCAGCTAACGATGCACATTAAAACCTCTCACAGTGCTGACAAATTTGTCTGTTCCTCTTTGGTAAGTTTCCATTTACAGATTTTGACATACCTTGTTCACTGGCTTTTTGTTATCATATAATGATTCTCATATGCTGCTATTATTAAATAACTGCCCTCCTCATTTCCAGCAGCAGTTCTGCCATAAGGTCACTTTAGCCTAGGGTTGATGACATGAACAGTAGCTCTTTAGATGAGGGGATTGTTTGGTATATTTTACTTAATATTTTAAAACTTTCCGAATCTTCAATTTTTAGATGTATATATTATAAACAACATACTGACTTTCAATTTTATTTTCAAATATTACCAATATTTGTCTTTTAATATAGTATTTTTCCAATTAGTTTCCATCTACTTAAATATTCGACTTTCAAAAAAAATCTTTTTTGTGCTATTTGTACTACTTTTGTACACTTCTGCACTTTGTCTTTAGTCTAAATGAATCCATTCTTTTCCTCCATGACCTTTCCTGTTCTCCCTCACCTGGAAGTCACATGCTGCATTTCCCAACATGGCTCCTCACTCCTCTGCTGTCACAGCGAATACCACTTTGCTGCCCTCCACCCATGCTTTAAGGTCCTTTAGAGGGATTCACCACCAACCCTTGCAGCGTTTACTGGTCTGAGAGCCTCTTTCTGGGTGGGGTTGAAGTGCCAGATGCAAAGCCTTTGAAGGGACTTTGGTTCATCTCTGCCTGTGTCCCAGGTCTGCTCTTTGTCTCCAGTGTTCCTTGGGTTCTTTATTTTCCCTAAGTGTCCACGTGCGTTTTATTTTGATCAGGCTTGTTACCTTCTGAGCTCTGTAAACCTTTGACAAGCACTGCAAGCTTTTCAGTGACCTCAGCTCTTCTCTCTGTTTCCATGCCATAGAGAAGCTGCAGCATCTTTCTTCTCACACCACCACCTAACTTAAAACTTTCCTGTTCTTTCATTTTTCCTAATATCTTTCATATTCCTCTTGCATCAGTCTTTCCTGTGTTGTTTTCTTCTGCTTCTGACATATTGCCAATTCCACCCAAGCTCACTGTGTTTTGCTATATAGCCAAGGCTGGCCTTGAACTCCTAATCTTCCTGCCTCTGCCTTCCAAGGGTGTGTATTCAGATATGAACCAGCACTCCTGGCATAAGATGGAATATTTCTGTTTCTGGTTCGCTGATGTCCAGCTAGACCATACACCATGGTAATGGCCCCTTGGTGCACCAGCTTTTTCTGTGCTGACGGCTTAAGAGATCCCCTACCCCAAAGAGGTCCAGACTTTCATGAATGGTCCCTGTGCCCTATGAAAGTAGGAAAAAAAACCAAATACCCCAACAAAAATTTATCCAGCTCAAAAATACCTTCAAAGTGAGAGTTTCCTTTAGTCTTTTCCTTATAGGTTCCTTATAGGTTTCTAATTTCATTTTGCATTTGTTGTCTATCATAATTAATACAACAGTTCATGGATATAACAAAAGTATTTTATAAAAGTATACAGCATTTTTAATGCTTTGCAAAGTGAAAACTGACTGTTGTGATATCATGCTTGTGCAAATAAAGCCTGTCTGAAGGTCAGAGAATGGAGCTTGCCATTAGCTAACCATAGAGGTCTGGAGGTCTGTACAGACAGACAGGAAGTGAGCTAGCTGGATAAAAACAGGGAGAAACAGGAACTCACTCTCTTGTTTGCTGAGATGCTAAGGAGGTAAGGTATGGTAGTGGCTTTCTCCTTCTCTCTGATCTCTCAGAGTTTCCCTCTCCATCTGATTCTGTGTTTTTATTATTTAGAGCAATTAAGAACTCCATTTACATTGTGATGCCCAACATGAGGCCCGAATCCATGATGCTGAGATTAAGAGTCTCATGCTCTACTAACTGGTAAGTTAACCAGAGAACTTAACCTGCCATGGCACCAGATGAGTACTTAATTCAAACCTAGGAAGACCTCCTGTGGCCCTGTAGCTGTCTGTGCTTATGTCTGCATCTTCTATCCCAGTGATCCTCGTCTGTTCCTGTGCTGGTCCCATGCTGTTTTTGTTATTCTAGCTCTGTAATGTACCTTGAAATCAAGCACAGTGACACTTCCAGCTTTATTTATTTTTGCCTAGGGTTGCTTTGGCTACCTTGCCTTTTGTAGTTGCAAATAAACAAGGAAGGAGAATATGATTAAAGTAGATTATATATGCATATTTATGAAAATAAAATAAGAGAAAAGCTTATTACATAAAATGGAAAGGTAAAAAGAAAAGAAACTGTAATTTCTACTCTTACCTGTGAATGCAACAATTCTCAAAACACTATGGTAGCATACCCCACCATACACCATGTATTATGTAGTTTAAATGAACATTTTAGCAACCAGTATTCCCCTACCTGCAAACCAGAAACCTAAAAGTGACAGAAATATGAGGTATTATTACTATGTTAAAAAAACGTACAAAGCTAGGGATAGCAAGATGGTTTGGTGGGTAAAATGCTTGCTGCACAGGCTTGATGTTCTGAGTTTAATCCCCAGAACCCATGAAAAGGCAGAAGGAGAGAATAAACACCAAAACTGTCCTCTGGCCTGCACATTATGGACAGGTGTGCCTGAATATACACATCAGACACACAGAACCTAAAATAAAAATAATAAAATAAAATGAGACTTTAAATGAGAGAGGGGAAGGGGAAAATTGTAAAAGCCAGAGACTGGAGAGTACTGCTATGACACAGTGTTGTCTGAACATGACAGGGTCATGGTGCTCCTGCACTCACAGCAGCTGAGGTTGCTTGAGCAAGGTCTGCACAAGATTCAGGCAACCGAAATTCCAGCTGGGAAGCTGAGCTGCTTTTGGTAGTTGAAGGTTGCTGGGTAGAGAGGTTGAGTTTTCTTCATGGTGTGGCTCCTGGTAGGTGGCCTGTGTTCCAGTGGATGGTCCTACTTAAGAGCAGTACTGACTGAGATCAATTTATTACTAAAAGGAAAATGAGGACATGAAGTTGGGAAGGGGTTGCAGGAAAAGATCTGGGAGGAATTGGAGGGCAGGAACAGGGGTGGATATGATCAAAATACATTGTGTGTGTGTACATGCACATGTGTATAATTCTCAAAGAATGAAAATATGTTTAAAAATAAACTTTTTATGTTTCCAGTTTTAATAAAAAACAAAAAAAGAGAACCAAAAAGTTTGAAATATATACATATATTTAGGAGGATATGGAGAAAAAACGGATGGAGAGCCAATATTCATGAGCAAGTGTTATCAAACAACTGGTTCTATGATTCAATGTCTCTAATTAAACTTCACACTTCAAAGTTTATTTTAATTGCTTTTACATTTGCCCATTTGAACAACCCCAACATTAAATAACCAAAACAAGATGATCTAGAAAATTCTTTGTATAGATTCCTGGCTGAAACAGCTTATGTCTAAATCAGGCACACAAATATACTCAAATACCCTCTCTACTTAACTGTGTACCAATTTTCATCACTAGTTACTTACTTAAAAATAAGCTTTTATAATAATCAAAATAACTCTACCTCACCATCAAAAAATACTGTATTCATTGTTTTATTTAAAA